CCATCGTGGCTTTCATGAAGGTCGAATACCTTACTACAACCTACCTGATGACCAAAATGTTTAGTATAAACAGATTGAAAATTATAATTACCTTGGTTGTTGACGTCAATAATGGAAGCCAGTTGTAGTCAAGTTGATAGGTTGACAGACAGTACGCAGGTGGATTGGCAGATAGGCAAGAAGATGGGCGGGTAGATGGGCAAGTTTATTTCTGTTCCAACGCCTCGTGGATGACTGTTACAAAACGAATATTAGTACCAATTTTAAGCTACATTTAAAACAAAAAACTTTGTTTACTTCTGGATAAATTTTCATAACGAATGAAATATCTTGTCTCCAACCATGTTTCATCAGCAGCATGTTATGCGATTTAGAAAATAATGTTATTCGCGAGATATTTTAAATCATAATTAATAAATTCACGAGAATGGGGTGTGTGTAACAAAATGGATGGACTTAATACCCGAAAACTCTACTCAAGTTGGAAATAAATATAGCTTCTCTTTAATAAAAAATTTGTATTTAATCTGTATTTGAAAATGCTTTAGGAGACAATCATTTTTCTGACTTGTTTTGAAAAATTCTCAGGCATTTTGCATTCAATTTCCAAGATGATTTTTGAGGTGATACTATGTGCAAGTGTCTGTCTGATACAGGAAAATAGCAAATGAAGATATAATAGTAAATCACTCATAATTGCAGACAATCCTGATTTAAGCAAAGGCTAATCAGTTCACTATCAGGTACCCATCATAGTCTTTTTTAAATTCCCTATAATTCCCATTATGGTATTTATATTGACACAAGCCAACGAATGCAAGATACACAGACCTTTTAGGCTCAAAACCAATAATACTGAATAGCATGCTTGGAATTCAAAGCATTTTAAATAGAAGACTGTGACACTTATTGAATATTCAGTCTTTTAGAAGTCAGTTTTGCAAAAGTGAAAGCATGCAAAATATTATGATAAGTTTATTTGGAGCAAATTTCAGTTATATATTCTTGTAAATTCAAAGATTTGTTAATATTAATGGTTTAGGTACATCTCTAACCCCAGCTCTCAAAGTTGGTTGATGATATATATGGTTACAGAAGGCCTATATAAAATAATGATCAAATGAAATGACTGGCTACAGAAGGTCTATATAAAATAAATGATGTCTGGTTACAGAAGGCATTTATAAAAAAATGATGAATGATAGTGCCTAGTTACATAAGGCCTATAAAAATAAATTGTGAATGATAGGTCTGGTTACAGAATGACTATATAAATAAATGAATGACAGGGTCTGGTTACAGATGGCCTTATAAAATAAATGATGAATGATAAGGTCTGATAACAGAAGGCCTATATAAAATGAATGATGAGCGAAAGGATCTGGTTACAGAAGGTCTTGATAAAATAAATGATGAATGATAAGGTCTGGTAACAGAAGGCCTATATAAAATGAATGATGAATGATAGGGTCTGGTAACAGAAGGCCTATATAAAATGAATGATGAATGATAGGGTCTGGTAACAGAAGGCCTATATAAAATGAATGATGAATGATAGGGTTTGGTAACAGAAGGCCTATATAAAATAAATGATGAATGATATGTATGGTTACAGAAAACCTATGTAAAATAATAAAGCAATAATAAGGTATGATTACAGAAGGCCTATATAAAATAAATGATGAATTATAGGGTCTAGTAACAGAAGGCCTATATAAAATAATAAAGTAATAATAAGGTATGGTTACAAAAGGCCTATATAAATAAATGATGAATAAGAGTGTCCAGTTACAGAAGGCCTATATAAAATAATTTTTAGTGATATTGTCAAGTTACAGAAGGACAATATAAAATTAATTTTGAATGATAGGGTCTGGTTGCAGCTGACCTATTTAAAAGAAATAATGAAAAGAACAGCTATATTTATGTAGATACCAATGCATGGAAAGATATCATTGTCATCAATGAAGCAGCTAATCAATAACTGAACTGAAGCAGCTAATCAATAACTGAACTTTGAATTTAAGACTAATCTGTGTAGCGATGGTAATACGTTCTATCCCTGACGAACCGTTTATTGTCATTTTTATGAAAGTGATATTTTCAACCATAAGCAAAGTGTTAGCGGTTTCAATTTTTTCTGCATTCATTCGAGCGTTTAAATATAGCAAGCCATGTAAAATTGTCATTCTTACATTATTAGTCACCAAGTTGGCAATTTATTTTTTTAACCCAAAAGAGGCGTTTTCTTTATTTAAAATGTTGTGCTTTCTTGGCATACGAAGTCTCGCGTGTAAAACCAACTGTAATAACAAAAGGGGAATTGCACATGCGCTCTCATATCAGTTTTATTAAATCCAAAACATTTTATGGTTGATATTTTACTACAAATACTTCTTTTCAGACTTTTGTTATTTTCTCATGTAATTTTGTTACCAACAAGACGCACTTAGCACTGTTGTTAACTGCATAAAGTATTCCAACTCGGTGAGGGGTGGAAATAGATGTCTTGGCCATCTCCAGTACAGACAGATTAATTTATGATGCTTTCCAAAGATATACTGGGGAAAAGAACTTTCATTTTAATACAAACTAGCTTTTATGTTGTCTATGATCATAAACAGTCACGTGGAAACGCACATGTACCTTAACGGACAACAGGTTAGACAAAACATACAAGCAGTACTAAAATGTTTAATCCTATGTCAATATATTAATCGGGAGACCATGTACTTAGACAAAATATATACATAACTTATTAGCGACATAAAGCAGCTCTTAGATCTAGACGTCAATGCAATCACTATTGACTGGTCATGTGAATAGCGGTCCTTGTACATTTAAGGCTACATGTTTTTAACTAAAGCTTAAAACATAGCCAGAAAAGAGAATCATCTCTTGGTATTTCAGAAATCGGTCAAATTAAGAATGTATTGTGACTTACCACATAGATATATCTCAAAAGAATAAAAGTAACTACAATAGCACAATATCGTTTACTGCTGTCCATGTCAATCAATTATGACAGCATGAGATTGCAGTGCTGACCATAGTCACCGCACCAACTTACCTATAATGAAAAAATGTTTGCTATTTTGTTTGGACTAAACTGCCTTAACAAATCAGTCTAAAACTAGTGTTAATTAGAAACAAAATTATCACGAATTCTCAAAATTCCAAAATGCACCTAACAAACATCTCACTAAAGACGGAATAGACACCAGTTTTTAGTCCTTTTCGTCTGTCAAATACGTTTCATGCTACAGTTGTACGTCAATATAAAATCCCCAGCATAACGCTGGCCTTCTTGACAAACGTCAATGACGTCAATTTAAAATCCCCAGCATACCGCTGGCCTTCTTCATGGATGCGTGTGACGTCACCATAAAATCCCCAGCATATGTTGGCCCTCTTGACGTCACTATATAAACCCAAATATACGTTCACCCCCATGATAAGTGTGTATGACGTCACTGTAAAATCCCCAGTATACCGGTTGCCCTCATGATAAGTGTGTATAACATTACTATAAAATCTCCAGTATATCGCTTGAAAGCCGCTTACGTTTTGGATCTCACCTAACCAATACAAATTTTTTTCTTCATCAAAGCCACTTAACTTCACTTAATTTTGGTTCTAATCTAATATGGTTTCACAGCATTAAATACCATATTTTATAACACAATCGGTATACTTTGCCTACAGCATGTGCAGTTTGTTACTGTTGATATTTTAACATGTGAACATATAAATGTATGTGATTCTGATTGTTTCAAATAAGCCCATAAAATTATTTTGCAGTATTCTCTTTACTGATTGACTGCAATCGCGAGAAAACTTATTTAACCCCAAATCCTGGCATGATTTTTCAATTCGACTCGCAAAAGGGGATTGAGGAAAAATTACATCGGCCGTCTGAATATAGACAATTTACCGCGATAGGGATTTGTTATGTCATGTATAATAATATGATCGTAAAAAAATGGCGTAAAACAAGAACAACAAAAACAAGTAAACAAAGGATATTACTAGTTTGATAGCTTGTGGGGTGGGGGATATAAAGAAGAGCACTGTACTTGAAGAGTATGACCCGTCTAGGTAATATATATATATATATATATATATATATATATATATATATATATATATATATATATATATATATATATATAATGTGTATGTTGGTTCATTAAATAATTATGAACCTGGTTCAGCAAATTACTGGCATAAAAGAAACAAATGCAAATGAAGTTTCGCACACTGCTGGTTCACAATATTGGCACGGTAAAACATCAATATCATGCGCCATCGACATTTGACCCATTCATCAACGTGTAAATAAGAATGTGGATTTTGTGTTGAATTAAATATTTATCCCAAAATAAATTGCAAATATATTGTTGTTAATTGTCTTAAGACGAATAAGAAAATGTTTATAGACATATTTCAAATGAGCTCACTTTGCATGCTTTACTTTGGTATGATTTTCTGTCACAGCTGTTCGTATTTGTAGTATGTACCGTGTAATGAGGATGTACCGTGTAATGAGAGAGACATGTGTTGATTATTAATATAATGTAAGTCAATATAATATTCCACTTTCCCATCACCAGCAATAATGTCATCATGTATTGATTGTATTTTTAACAGGTACTGTATAATATAACTTCTTAAATAATATTTGTGAATCTATAATTTAGCCTAAGATATAAAATTATATTTTAATATTTTAAACGAAGAAGAAGACGACGACGACAATGATGATGATGATGATCGTGTCTGTGTGTGCTTTGGATTTTTAACGTAGCTAAAATGTTGTGCCATATGATACGATGTCTGCAGTGTGACAGTACATGTCTAGCACTGGGGTATCTTGCCACAGACATGTAGCATGATGTCCCACCCATTCAGATTATTCTGACTCCTGACCGGCCAGTCCTAACACTAACATCCTAATGCGAGGCAGCTGAACGTACCATTCTTTTTATAAGACTTTGGTATGACTCGTCCGGGGATCAAACCCGCGACCTCCCGCATTCGAGGCCGACGCTTTAAACCTAGGCCACCGGAGAGGTGCTATGATGAAGTTAAGATGGCGTTAATCATAATCATAAATATGTGGGTATTTTTGGTTGTGTCGACGACGAAAAAATATAAACATATCTTAGATTATATATATATATATATATATATATATATATATATATATATATATATATATATATATATATATATATATATATATATATATATAGTAGAGATTATTGGTTGTTAATGTGGAGTCGGTGGTGTTTGGAAGTTATTTCTCTACTTGAGTAATTAGCCAATTTCTAATAGCAGACAATATTCACGAGTTTATGACAATGTGGATTAGTTTTGTAAAATGGATCCTGGATTATATCTTAACATAGGGAATCGTCTGGATATTCCACATAAAAGTTTTTAGTAATTTGGGACAGGAATAATTCTTTGTCTTTGGTGTTAGAGTCGTGTTTCCTATTAGCATGGCAGCTTGGAAAGGTTTACTGTTGAATTATAAAAATTGCGAACAAGAAAAAACATGTAAATGTGAAAATAAAGTTTTGTGATGTATGGTCACTGGGTGATTATATAAAGTTAATAGCCTTGTTTGCGCGTTTAAGAACTTTCAGTTGAAAACGATTGTTGTTTGATGTTTTTTTATTGGAAATAAGGGTTAATAATGGACTTCAAGCCACGCTCACGCATTTGTTGGATTTGCTCGGTAGAAAGGCCCCTGCTTGCAACAAGATATATATATATATATATATATATATATATATATATATATATATATATATATATATATATATATATATATATATATATATATATATATATATAAGTTGTCTTAATCAGGTAGTACAAGTCGCCCACAATAGCATTACTGACAGGTATCCAATTTACTTTTATGCGTTGATATAGCTACGAGTTACCTTGAAATACCTGTCAAAGTATTTTCTAAGCAATATACATTATCGTAAATCTAGAATGGCATTAATTACAGAATCCAAAGTTAAAACAGTGCCAGATTAATGTCATGTCATAAAATAGGAATTACATGAACTTAATATCTAAATAAATGCATTTTACACCAGTTGTTCCGGGTTTGTGTCCATGAATAAAATGCAGCATGCCTGGTAACCATAAACTATGGAGGATGAAGATGTCCTTCATGATGATAGAAAATGCAGTGGTAACATAAAATCAATATACACGTGAATTCTTCTAGCTTAATAGCCGATTAAATACATCTCTTCAATTCCGACAGACAGCCATTGTAGAACAGCAATTAAATTGAGATCTACGGGCGACATAACACAGATGTTATATGAGCCGATAAAAGTCCATGTTCATGCCACTTTTGGAATTACCGTCCACCTATTATTAATAGTTCATCAGAAATTGGGGTGGAGATTTTTAGCTGAGCATGTACTCAGGCTCAGAACGCTTAATGACTGCCAAAGCAAGACACACTCCAGCAGAATGTTTATCGCATCCGGGTATATTGAAGTGTTCGTTCGTTCGTTTGAGGCTGTCATTCTCATGGTATCTCGTGACTATTGCAAATTTTGTTTTGATTTCTGGCCATCCTATACAGCATTCCAAGTAGAACTTATTGAGTTGTTAATGTGAAAAGTTATATCCATGTTTTTTTGTCAAGTGAATCAATACTAGAGATAATACTTTCAAGCCGATTAATCAAAATAGTTGAATTCTCTTTTTTCCTAAACCTATTGTTAACTATGCTTCTCTTATTGTAAATATATATATATATATATATATATATATATATATATATATATATATATATATATATATATATATATATATATGGTTCAATTCAATAGTGGTGTGACACCTTCTATCGGTAAGCGAAAATAAACTTTTTAACGATGATGCATTAAGTGACTGATCATGCAAATTCCAAACTAATAAGTGCCATAACAACTGAGCAATCATATATGGAATAAATATGTATGCGAAACTACTCTTTTAAGAATATTGCACCGCGTATGTTTTCATTCGGTTTTGTTTTGTTTTGTTTGTTTTTTTACTAATATCAAGTGCAGTGTCCACATAATTGAAGCAAAATGGTAGATCTTTGTTGTCGGCAGTGGCAGATGGATTATGGATTTACATATTTTACATTGACCCGCCCAAGTAAATACAGTCGAGAACAATAATAGGATATCAAGCTAAATGGAGATGTACATTATGAAAACCTACACCACGTGACATGTAAGTATTGATTATCTACATACCCCAACTGTTTATTAGCAAATATGAACATTTATATTTAAATTGGTAATAAAAATTGGTTTTTAAGTCTTGAGACAGTTTTGGGTGCTTGTAATCTTTGAACTGTTATAGGGAACCATACTTGCCACGTTAAAAATGGCCCATTCTCTAATCCAGTAGTTTTTAACCGTTTACCTTGTGTTTGTTTTTTAAAAAATGAAAAGCTACTATGTAAACAGCTGCAATTATATTTGACAATATAGTTTATTATGTACCATATTCTTTTAGAAAAGCGTATGGAAGTCCATCCGAGTTGCTGAGACTGGTGAATGATTGGCGGACTAACCTGGACAATGGTTCCAATGTGAGTAGAATCCTAACAACTCTGTCCAAAGCCTTCGAATGTCTTCTTCGAATCTTCTTTATTAGAGACATGAATTCTCAAAACACTAATCAAAATTCAGTTAAAATAATTGAAAAGTACTCTTAACTGAATACAGTGTTTTACATTGGGATATTCAGACAGCAATTGGGATACAATCTGTCGGGGGGAAAACTCAAGGCTGTACATTGTGACATCTTTGATTCAGTATATTTTATAAATGGAATTATCTACTTCATCAAACATCATTGTATAATTCCAAATACGACAACATCGTCTCTTACACCCACAAAGATCCAAATAATTTCACGTCTATTTCACAAAATGATAGTGGGACACATATTGACTTCGCCGCGGCCAAAAGTAATTTTCAACCTTTGGTATACAAGACAATGAACAGAAATTCCAAGTCACTGCTCTTCTCAAAATAGCTTATAATTTGGCTGTCACAGAAGGCTAGGCATTGTCTAGTTAGGTCCGTGTGTAACTCCTTAGAGTATATATCGACTCTCAACTAAATATACAATAAACGGTTTGTATCATCTCAACTGTTATTTGTCCATTAATATTAGGTTATTGGTTTGAACAAGTTCAATTAGGTCAAATTTAAAATTATCTAGCACCTTTATAGAAACTGAAGTTTCAACAATCTCACGAACATAAAGCATATGTCACTAAAATTGTTTCTCAATTTAATAGCTCGCTACGATGGCACTCTTTTAAGAAAATTTCTGCTTTACAAATTTGTAGAAACAATATATATATATATATATATATATATATAGATAGATAGATAGATAGATAGATAGATAGATAGATAGATAGATAGATAGATAGATAGATAGATAGATACATACATACATACATACATAGATACATACATACATACATAGATACATACATAGATAGATACATAGATAGATAGATAGATAGATAGATAGATAGATAGATAGATAGATAGATAGATAGATAGATAGATAGATAAATAGATAGATAGATAGATAGATAGATAGATAGATAGATAGATAGATAGATAGATAGATAGATAGATAGATAGATAGATAGAGAGAGAGAGAGAGAGAGAGAGAGAGAGATGCAATAAACTGACGACGAACTGTGCGAAACTAGTAACTAACTAGCCTGAGCGCTTTCGACTCTTAATAAGTCTTTTTCAAAGGCAAATACAAAACATATATACGACAAACAAATAAACACAAAAACGTTGTGTTTGTAAACCTCTCCTTGTTGAGACAGCCATATATATATATATATATATATATATATATATATATATATATATATATATATATATATATATATATATATATATATATATATATATATATATAAAGTCAAAACGTTGACTATATAAGAATGAATAGTTTTTATATGTATGATACCCATACAGGTCAGCCAGGGTTGGTTGCCTCAGTGTATCCTTTGGAGACGCTGTTTGCTGCTTTTTTTCTCCGTAAGATAAAGCAACTAGTGTATCAAAAAATCATTTAATCCAGCATAAATATATACCTTTAGCACGATCCGCCGTGATTGTTTAGTAATATCTGTAGTAACTGCACACAAATAATTTTCACAGACTTCCTGGTTTTAATAAAACTTAAAAACACTTTGAAATTAGACCTCAATCAATAATTTTAGAGTCATTTACGAATAATAATTTACATTCTTTACATTTTAGTCCACCATGTTGGACCTGGTTATTTTTGTTCCACATGTTTATCTACATTGTGCTATGCAGTCACACTAGGTAACAGCTGTTGGATCGAATAAAGGTTATTGGAAATGAGACACCTAGGTTTTGAGTAAGGTTGCTTGACATGGATGGTCTAGTAATTCACCTGCAGTAAAGATTAAATAAAGCATGTCCGCCACCACTACAAGGTTCTTATTCAATTATACTGAATCTCCATGGTACAGATTCGGCAGTTTACATATAAAATAAAGTGCGTCCACCACAATTACAGGCCCCTTAATGAATAACATCGAATACCTATGTTTCAGAATCAACAGGTTACATGTAAAAAAAAAGTGTGTCCGCCACAATTACAGGGTCCATAATGAATTATATCGAATATATGTTTCAGAATAGGCAGATCACATGTAAAATAAAATGTGTCCGCTATATATATATAGATAGATAGATAGATAGATAGATAGATAGATAGATAGATAGATAGATAGATAGATAGATAGATAGATAGATAGATAGATAGATAGATAGATAGATAGATAGATAGATAGATAGATAGATAGATACATACATACATACATAGATACATACATAGATAGATACAAGTAGTATAGGGGGATAGTTTAGCGTCAATGGAAAAATACATTACAAACACCCCTGGGATACTTTGGCGTCAATGGGAATTTAACATGGGGAAATTTAACGTGAAGTGAATGG